GATGGTCTCAGGCTAGAATTTGGGAAGGGGAGCCTTATTTCTCAAAGGATGTTACTGGATGTGCCCTTTAGTTTAGTTTGCATGTTTATGGACTCTCATGTCCTGGTGGGTAGGGAAGGGGCTGCAGCACAAGTTAGAGTCCCTTCTTTGGGAGATGGATTCACTTTTGTTAAACTTGGTGTTCCCCAGGTCCCACCTTGCTTTCTCCTGCCACCTTCTGCCTCACTGCCCGGTTTTTTGAGTGCGCAGTGTGTGGCCTTGCCTTCAGTCCTCTGAAGCTTTGCTGAGCCAGCCAGTGTTCCCACCGCACCTTCTGCTGTCTGCTGGCCATACATTGTAGTTTCTTGGGTCTGATGTCCCCGCTGGACTCCAAGTCCCTACAGGGCAGGGACCTTTGGGTCTTTATCCATCCACAGGTCCCAGCACAGGACCCGGCATGTTGTAGGCCTTCTTGGATAGGAAGTGGATTAAGCTATTTTTTTTTTAAAATCAGTAACTGGTAGGGACTTAGACTTGCTTCTTAAAGGAGAAGTAGAAGAAAGAGTAATTCAAAGAAACGAATCACTTCAATGAACATGTAGGTTCGTTTGTCGGGGAGATGATAGATTCTCTTGGGCAAAAGGTCCCACACTTGACTCTGCCACCATTTCCCAGGACTCGTTTGGTGTTACTTCTCCCTGTGATGTTGACTTTCTTCCCTGTATTATCGGGAAGCATGTTCAAACCATTGTTGGATATTTCAATCAGGGGTTAGCCAACTACAGTCCATGGGACAAATCCATTCCCCGCCTGTTTTTGTTAGTACAGTTTCCTTGGCACATAGCTACACATACTTGTTTACATATCGTCTATGGCTGTTGTGTGCTGTCATGGCTGAGCTATGACATACAGGCAATCCTCAGGTTACATTGGACTCAACTTACGTCGTTTCATGGTTATGTTGCCATCTCCCATTTATTTATTAAAAAAAGGTTCTGCCATTTTGACATATGTACATATGTGCTTTATGGTTTTTATTATTTACCACAAGGTCAGGAATTGTTATCTTTTAATTTTTTAATTTATTATTATTATTTTTTTTTACTGATTCATTTCATTACCGCTGGGTATGTGCTCCTTTTTAAAAAAAAAATATATATATTTTATTGATTTTTTTTTATAGAGAGGAAGGGAGAGAGATAGAGAGCCAGAAACGTTGATGAGAGAGAAACATTGACCGGCTGCCTCCTGCACACCCCTCACCGGGGATGTGCCCGCAACCAACGTTCATGCCCCTGACCGGAATCGAACACGGGACCCTTCAGTCCGCAGACCGACTCTTTGCCACTGAGCCAAACCGATTTCGGCTGTATGTGCTCCTTTTGAGTGACGTAGGTGCTTATGCGGGTGGGTTCCAACTTACGGCAAAAATCGCGTTGTGTCACGCCATAGGAGCGGATCTCCGATGTAACCCGAGGACCTACTGTATACTGAGTATTCACAAAGCCTGGACCCTTTACAAGAAGAATTTACTGAGATCTGATGAGTTGCTCTCTGTGCCCATCACCCTCAGCTATGTGGTGATGGGCCTGAAGCAGTGTGTGGAGGAGGGGTGCATGCATAAACGGTGTGAGAGGCCTGAGGCCCGCACCTACCAGATGAGGCACCTGTGGCAGATCGCTGAGGCACTTTGAGGCCTTTCCTTCATCTCCAAGCGGGCATTGAACACAGTGTCTCCCTCCGGGGAGGGTGCACACAGCTGGACACCATTGTTGCCGTTCTCTTTCTCAGGAGGAGGAAGCCAAGAAGCTGGTGAGCGAGGCCATTGCAGCTGGCATCTTCAATGACTTGGGGTCTGGAAGTAACATTGACCTCTGTGTCATCAGCAAGAGCAAGCTGGACTTCCTCCGCCCGTACTCGGTACCCAACAAGAAGGGGACCAGGTGAGTGAAGCCTGTCAGTTCACTCCAGGGAAGTGCTGTGTGTCCCATGGTGACCACCGTGTGTCTCAGGGGATAGTTCACTTTTTCTTGAGTCTTGAGTGTGTGGTCTAAAGGGAAAGCCCAGGTCTGGTTGTGGGTCATTTTTATATTGTTTAAGCTTCCCAATATTTCCGAGGATACAGGTCAGCCTTGTTGCCACACCAGAGAAGGTGGTGGCAGCTTGAAGGCAAATGACCAAATGCTCTCCAGCATTGCCTGGGGCTGGTGAGGTGGGGGAGGAAATGTGAGGCCCACTAAGTGCCTGGGGCTCTGTCAGACCCTTGAGTAAAGTGCGTCCTATCTACCAGGTGTTCCTGTTCTGTAGCTCTTGAGAGCTGCGGAAAGTGAGCAGTTGAGTCCCCCCAGGATGCAGAGCTGAATCAGGAAAGCCGGGATCCCAGTCCTGGCCCCTGCCTGCCGGAGAACTCGCCCCTCTCCAGCCTCAGTGGGCCCCCGAGGGGATGCTAACGCTTGGCTGTTCTGTGTTTCTCACTAGGTTTGGACGGTACAGTTGTGAGAAAGGGACCACTGCGGTCCTCACCGAGAAGGTCACTCCCCTGGAACTCGAGGTGCTGGAAGAAACGGTCCAGACGATGGACACTTCCTGAGTGCTGCCGTGGGTGGCTGGGCACTGCGCCAGAAGATGGGGGGCAACAGAGACCCCCTGTAAGACACTCAGTTTGCTGAGACCCAATAAAAAATGGAAACCAAATTGGGGCTGAGGTCTGGGGCTGTGTGGTGGTTTTTTTTAGCCATTAAGGCACATGGATCCGGCCTGCCCTCGGGACGTTAACCCTTTTCCAGTGGGTGTGTACTCGGTGGGTGTAAGAGCGGCGGACCCCTGAAAGCAGGCGGGTCATGTCGGAGAAGCCAGAGTGGGCTCCTTGGATTTCAGGTGAGCCTCTCACTCACTCCTTGTATTAACTGCCTCCGCTTGGGGCAGGGCAGTCCTGGGTGCTCTTCATGTTTTCTTTTTTTTAGGATGAGGGCAGCACAGCCTTTCCCCCAGCAGCCAGGCAGGAAGACAAAGCAGGTAGGTGGACGGTCTGCTTGGCCGTAACTGCGGGGAAGGGGTCGAACTCTGAGGCAAGTTTCACAAAAGCCAGAGGAATGCTCAGGGATCACTGTTTGTAATAAACAAGGAACGCTCACTTCCCAGACACTTAGGCCTGCGACCGATTGGAAGTGTGCACCTCCGCAGGGTCCTAGAGGCAGAGTGGCTCTGCTGGCACAGAGAGCAAGTTCTGTGTCTGATGCTGGTTCTGCTGAGGGGGACGCAGGAGGGTCTCGGAACTGTAAGCAGAATCTTTGCAAAAACACCTGTCTGGAACCCAAAAAACTTGCAGTGGCCAGTGCTGGGGAGGGGACAGGGCTGTGACCCTCCTGAGAGAGCGTGGCTGTGTGAACCAGCCTCCCAGGTTAGCCTGCCAGGAGTGGGGCAGGGAGAACAGTGGAATTCGTTTAGGGCAGCACCGTGGCTGATGACTGTCAGCATTATCTGGGAGCTTTAAAAAATGCCAGGATTACTCAGGATGTCTGGGTCCTGAGAAGTTGTGTCTTAAAGGTGCCTCGAGGAGTTATGCTTCAGTGTAAAGCTGTTTTAAAACTTTCCCCGAATCATACTCACACAAGTAATCCCTTCGCCAGTTTTATTCCAAACACAGAGGACATGTACAAAGCAGAGGTGGCGTCTGAAGAAAACCTCTCAAACCAACAGTGTTAACAGGAGGACAGAGTTCACACATGGAAACAGAGCAGCAGCCCATTCCCTCCTTTATCGGGAGCTCAGTGAGGCCAGGGTGCGTGTGGAGGGGCGGTGTGCTCTGTCTGCGGGGCGGAACTGTCACCAGGTCAGTGGATGACAGCGTGGACCATCTGAGGATTAACTTGAGTATAAAGACAACTCAATCTATTTCTTTCAGAGCATGAGTTTTCCGTACGTTCACATTTATAAATTAGTCTTCACAGTTAATCCTATTTGGGAACAAGAAGTAAAGGAATACATCTCTAGTTTCCTAGACATAATACAGTTGTACATTAATTCTTGATTTACGTGGTCCATGGACATGAGTTTTGTGAAGGGGCGAGGGCTGCCATTTTGGGATCATCTACAATGTGCTGAACAACTTGCATATTTTATTTCAGATTCTGTCAGCACCCTGAAGGTAGGTATCATTAGTCCTATTTTACAGATGAGGAAACTAAGGCTCAGAGAGGCTGAGAAACTCGCCCACGTCATGATAAGAAGTTACAGAACCAGAACTTGCACAGAGAACAGCCGGAAGGCAGGTTTTGTATTTATAGCTTTGTATCCCCTGCTTCCGTCCCACGGAAAATGCTTAACACTGATCATTAAGTGAACTGACAGCACTCTGGCAGGGGATGAAGTGCCTGGCAGAGAGCAGGTGTCGGGAGAGGAGGGCGGGGCTGGACTGCAGGGAAGACAGTGCCTTTCAAATGCTGTTTGTCCTTCTGAAGCTCTGTGCCAGGTGCTGGTTCTCATCCTCGTTCATCAAGTTATAAACGTAGATAAAAATATTAGGAAAATCTTCACTCTACTTATTTAAAATATTATGTCCACTTTATCCTTTAAAAACAGAGTAAATTAAGCACACAGCTTGACTGAAATGATTCTAAGAGCTAACCGGAACTTGCCACCGCCATTTTCAAAGGCTCACTACAAATCACCAGTCCCGCAGTTCTGTTAGCATCACCTCGACCAAGTCCTGGAGGAATTGCCTTAGAGATTCACATTACAGGGGTGTGTCATGGCTTGCTGAACCACACGCCCTGTTAACAACCCAGCTGAGATTGTTCACAACAGTTTAAAGAAAGGACTTTTGAATTCGACCATCAGTAATGTGACCCGTGCCCCTCCCCCCAGCCTCTCTGCATTCAGCGTCTGCTGAGAAGCTGGCCCCCTCGAAACCCGAGGAAGCCTCTCCACTTAGTGGATCTAGGCTCCCGGGTGGCCGCTTTGGAGAGGACGCAGGTAAGGCAGAGTGGTGCTGGCTCTGATAAGGCACGCCGCGTCCACGCTCAGGTGCTCGAAGTCCACACGTGCATCTGTTTGGCGACCTGGTGCACGTAGCCAATGTCTGGCCTCTGGTTGGGGTCGGGGTAGATGCACATGCTGACCAGCTCTCGTAGCTGCAGGGAGAGGACGGATGTTAGTCTCAGGAAGCAGCATTGCTGAGGCTCCGGCAGCACCATCTGCATCTTGTAGCTCTCAAGGCGACTGGGGTGAGCGTGATGCTCAGAGGCCAAGTGATGGACGCATTGTCACAGCCACTACGCGGAGCCAGGACCAACCCGAGGCCCGTCTGGCCTCAGAGGCCACGCTTTAATACCCCGAGAGTGGTTGCCCCAAATAATTTTTGAAGTTTCAACTGTGCATACTGTTAAGCAAATCTGTGTGTGTTGGCTGTCAGTCACACAGATGCCCGAGCCAGAGGACAAAACCGAAGGCGAGGGCTTATTGATCGTAATAAATGCATTAACATGCAGCAGGGCTGCAGCCTGCCCACCCCCTGGCCTCCACTGTGCTCATGAAAGACAGAGCTTTTAATTACACAGACACTGAAGGCTGTGCCGCCCTGGGGTGGGGGAGGGGCGCCTTGAGCCTCTGATCGCCTCCCTTGTGATAGCCAGAGTGCCAATTATTTTAATGGTAATTAAAATAATGACCTTAAAAAGCCCACATCTTAACTTGCATCACTGGGCTGACTGCATGCCTCTCTCCCCCGCCCCCCCCCCCCCCCCCAATTTAAATACTTGCTGCTGGAGGGGCTAGCCGGCCCTGTGGGGTCATGGTAGCCGCGGGAGAGGGCTGGTCCTAAAGAAGAGGGCTCCTGTGGACTCTGGCCATGCTCGGGGCGTCTATACAACCCATGTCACTCCGGGGGTGTTCCGGGTCAGGCTTTTGAAGCAGCCCTCTGAGTTGTATGTCACCCTTCTGGGATTCCACCTCCATAAACTCTGGAAGGCCCGGCAGCTGAGCTGAGCCTGCAGCTGCTGGACACTCCTGGAGACGAGGTTGCCCAGGACGAGATGATACTTTTGGACCTTTCAGGATTCAGGTGAAGTTCATGTGACCCCCGTCATTTGTGAGTAGACCATGCATTGGCAGTAAGTGCATGTTTGAAAATGTTAGAAGTCAGGAGAACCAAAATGAAGTGTCTATTTCCTTTTCTAAGGTGACAGAACTTCAAAAGTAGGGGTGCAGGGGATTCCAGGGCCGAGAACCACCTCTCGCTCCCAGACACACAGCCTGGAAGGCGCCCATGACTGGGGAAGCCAGGGGCTGGGGAGCAGGAGCTCCCAGAGGTGAACAACGGGAAAGAGGCTGAGGGCTTTACACAGATTTGTTCATTTTAGCTTCCTATCTGGGAGGCAGATTATGGTTGCTATTTGTAAGTGGGAAGCTGAGGCACAGAGAAGTTATGATTTGCTCTGGCATAACTTGTGGCTCCAGGCTTCTTGATGGAATTCTTGCATGGAATCCCAAATTTAAAAGTAAAACCAAATACAGCTGTTCACTATAAAGAAATCTAACTAGTTTTTCTTCTTCTTTTTTTTTTTTTTTTGCCAGCTCCAACTCCAGAGCACCAGCCCTTCCTCCAAGGGCTACTTGGAGAACGTGGTAGGCCACTGAAGCAAAAGCCGAGAGAGCACTGAACAGTCTAGGTCGGTGGTCGGCAAACTCATTAGTCAACAGAGCCAAGTATCAACAGTACAATGATTGAAATTTTTTTTTGAGAGCCAAATTTTAAAAACTTAAACTTCTTTTAATGTCACTACTTCAAAATAGACTCGCCCAGGCCGTGGTATTTTGTGGAAGAGCCACACTTAAGGGGCCAAAGAACCGCCTATGGCTTGAGAGCCACAGTTTGCCGACCACGGGTCTAGGGGCCTGTCCCCAGGGAGTCTGAAACCAGTGAGTCTGGCATCAAGGTCAAATCCTGCCCCCGTCACTTGCAAGTTCCATGACTTTGGGCAAGTGATTTAACCTGTATGTGTATCAGTTTCCTCTCTGGTAAGATAGGCTGAGGGAGGATCTGCTATAGATCATAAATGTGAAATGTTATTATCCCGAGGCAGTGAATGGCCTGTAGTCCTTCAGACTCCTTCACCCACTAGTGTTGATCTTGGACAGAAATAATAATGGAACAGAAATGACAATAATAGATGCTTACTAAGCATTTACTATGACTAGGCCCTTTGCTACATCCAGAGGCTGTTTTTGATGAGGGGGTCATTGTCAGCCTGTTGCTAGACTGAGCACGTTATGGGCACTGACCCTGTGAGGTGGATTCTAGGATTTCCCCATTTTACACATGAGAAAACTGAGACTCAGAAAAGTTTAGTGTCTCATCTAAGAGCGGTAGAGGGAGTATGTAAACCTCTGTGTCTGTCTATACCCTCAGCCAAGCTATGCTATAAACCTGTCATCTCATCCTCGCATTTTATTCATGAAGGTAAATATTAGCCTTATTTTCGAGGTCCAGAACAGGTGAAGATGATGCTCACACAGGGTACCTAACACAGCCCGATGCGGACCTGTCGGAGTCTGTGTCCCTGGTGAAAACGTTGAAAATAACCCAAGGTGTGACTAGGTCTGTGACAGCAAGGAGACCCTGTGTGTGCTGTTTCCTGTCTCTGGGGCAGTGGGGCAGCTAAGGACCTGCAACTCCTGCGTCTGGTTCCTGTTGTCTGACACCAGGAGCCCGTCTCTGGGACATGGGCAGCGAGCCCAGCTGTCCAAGGTGTGCCCACTGCCTCCTCGCACTCCTGGTTTCTGTGCCAGGGGGTGGCCGCCAGCCTGCTGTGGGGCCCACACTGGTGTCTGAGAGCTCTTCAGTAACAACCATCTATTTTCTCCCTGAGTCACTTTCCCAAAAATCTTCCCCCCTTCACCCTGTAAGTGAACCCAAGCTCAACAACACCCCCCCCCCCCCCCCACGGGCTCGCTGGGCCGGCCCGGCAGCAGCCTGACCTTCTCGGAGTAATGTTCTCCGGGGAGCGGCGGGTAGTCGCACTGCTCGATCTTCTGGCAGAGGGAGAAGAGGTTCATCTTGTCTCCGTAGAACGGGCTTTGGAGAGCCGCCATCTGCAGGGGGAGGGTTGGGAGAGGAGTTTTCAGCCTTGGGGTCCCGAGTGGGGTGCGGCCCTCCGGTCCCCAATATAGCGACTGTCCAGCAGGACGTTCCCCAAAACCGAAGGAAGCTGGGACTCCACAGACGTGGCCTTTTGACACAATCCTTGTTACATCAGCACATGAAATGGGTCAAAGGCTTCGGTGACAAAACTTGAAAGGCAATCAGCCAAAGACGGGGCCAGCCGCCTACAGGCCACACCCTGCCCCACGCCTCGGCTGAAAGACGGACGGCGAATGGGCTGCTCACTGGGATTGGCGTTGGCCTGGCAGGTCCTCTCGGCGCCCCGGCCTATGTTTTTCTAAGAAGCAAGTCCAAACGCCATGGGAGGATGTCTAAGGAGTGAAGTGAGGTAGTCACCTAAGGACAAACTGAGGCGGGTGGTGAGGCATTTCGTTTTTGGCTTTCATTCGGGTGGTTTTCTCCAGCCCACACAGAGCCTGGCTGCTTCTGCCTCGGAAGCTGGATGCCCAGACACCAGGGAGGGCAGGCGGGCGGGCCGGCTGACACCCTGACAAGGGGCCTGGGACAGTGTCCCGGAGGCTCCAGGCTCTGCAGGCAGCTTCCGCTTGCCGATTCCCTGCTCTGCTCGGCTTGTGCTTGCTGTGTGTCTGGCCTGTGGTTTCCTTGTCCCTAAAGTGGGAAGAGGCTCCTGCAGGGCTGTGGTGAGGCGCGGCTGGCCCAGGAGGCACCACAGGCAGAGCTTCATCTCTGGGCATCAGCTCAGCCCTGCAGGCGAGCACCTGGGGCACCAGGAAGAGAAAGGGCTGTGCTGGTCCCAGCAGGTCAGTCAGGGAACTCCCAGGCCTCACCCTGCTGGAGGGCACCCAGATGCCTCACCCCACCAGAGCACTTTTGGGGGTGTCCTCAGAGGGCACACGGGAGCCGTGGGCAGGCTCCATGAGGCAGCAGCATGGCAGCCCAGCACGGTGCCCGCGGCCCCATCTGCTGATTAATCCGTAATGGGATTCAAGTGCTGCTCGTCACTCCGCTCTGATTCCCAGTGCCGCCTGCTGATGAAGTACAGTCGGGCAGTCGTGCCTGCCGGTCTGGCCCTTGGAGGAGCCAGGCGAGGGCTCCTGGGCTCTGGCTGTGGCAGGGCATGGGGATATGGAGGAATCTTCACTGTCCTCAGGCCTGGAGGTGGCCATGTGCCCTATCAGGACAGGGAGCTGGGCTTGTGGGTACCCATTGGCTTCAGCTTCCATTTCCTCCATCCTCCGTTCACTCCTGTGAACGGGGCTGGTGACTGCCTCCGGAAGGGCCCAGCAGCATCCTTATTTACAGATGGCCAGGGGGGAGGCAGCAATGTGGCCTGGAGGCTGGGGGCTTCCTCTGACCCAGGCCCAGGAGTGTGGGCAGCACCTGTGGGCCTCGAGGCCTGGGCAGGCCAAGTGCTTCCAGTGGGGTTCAGGGCCAGCCTCACCTCTACTACAGGACCAGGGGCTCGGGCCCCTCTGAGGGCTGGGAAGCGTCTGGACAGAGACAAGGCTACACAGTGAGCAGCCCTGGCACTTGGTAGGGAAGGATGGGGGTTTGGAGCCCCCTTACCCCCTCCTGCTGGCTCTGCCAGCCTGACGGAGCTGGCTGGAGGCGCCGGGATTAGACCGATTGCCCTGATGGTGAGCTCTCCCGGTACCAGGGGCCGCTCTGGTCAGAGAAGAGGAGCTGCTCTTTGGGCGGAGACCGGCAGCCTCGTTAGAACTGCCACAGTCGTGGCTCTCAGCGCTGCTCAAGTGCAGACCTTCCTCTGGCGTCAATGGGGTGACATATGGCCTGGGAAACGGGAGCGCTCAGAGGAACTGGTGTGTGTGGCCTGAGCTGTCGGGGAGAATGGGATCCGACTGCTGAGGACAGTGCCTGAGACTCCCACCGTCAGGGACTCAGACACCCCTCTCGTCACCCAGCATCTCCCCAGCACGTCCCAGAGTCTGAACCCAGAGGCCAAGCAGTCTGCAGCCCTGCCCTCCACGAGGTAGGGGCACCCAGACCGTTTTCCGGCTCAGACCAGAATCCCAGAGCGGGATTCCCGACAAGATGCAGCTGGTCCTGCCTTTTCCCGCCTGCTTTCCTACGGGCCCCCGGAGGCAGCTGTGAGGCCCCAGCTGAGGATCCTGGGGCGGCACTGAGTGAGCCAATTCCTTCAGCTCCCGTGTAGATAAAGTCTGCAGAGCACGGCAGCCCGCTGGGCGCCTCCACGGGGCATGCTGGGGAATCAAAGCAAAGCACCAGGCTCCCCAACTGGGCCTGGGAGCTCCACTGCTCTGGCTCCTCACAACCTGCTTCCCCCTCACAGGGCTCTGGGCAGAGACCCCTCTCACCCATCTCTCCCACCGAGGCCACGCCTTCCTGGGTTGCAGTCTACAGGAGGGCGGGCTCTCACGGGCAGCCGGGGGACCGGGGCCCCGAGTGGCCACTTCCCTGCTGTGACACCAGGAAGTCTCCACCTCTCTGAGCCTCGACTTCCTCCTCCAGAGAAGGCTGGGACTGTGCTGGTGCTTCCTTGCCATTCACCCCAGTGCCCAGGGCAGGGCTGTGGCATCTCCCACGCTGACCTCTTCCACACAGCCCACTCGGCACCCGCACTGAGGGCCTGGGCCAGGTGCAGTGCTTTGTGGTGGCTCCTCACTAGACATGGTCACCATCAGCATCTCAGGTGGCCCCAGGAGGCCCTCAGCGGACATCTGGCTGCCCAGGTGAAGTGCGGTGTGATGGGCTGAATGATGGCCCTTTAAGAGGTCCTCACCCCAGTCCTTGGAGCCTGTGCGTATGTTACCTTATATGCAAAAGGGACTCGGTGGGTGTGATTAAATTAAGGATCTCTGGGTGGAATATTATCCCAGGTGGTCCAGGTGGGCCCTAACTGTAACCACAGTGACCATGCGAGAGGGAGGTGGAAGGTGATTGGCTACAGGAGGTGTGTCGAGGGAGGGATGGGGTCATGAGCCCAGGAATGTAGGTGGCAGAAGGAACCAGCCTGATGACACTTGCCTTTAGTCCATTGCAACTGGTTTTGGACTCCTCCCTCCAGAGCGGTCAGTGACTATATTCCTGAGGCCATCAACGCCGCTGAGCGTTACCGAACCATGGAGACCCGCCCTCACTGGGCTCGGGAAGGGCAGGCCTGTCCCTGTGAGGGGCAGGTGTTCTCTGGCCCAGGGCCCAGGTGTGCTCCACAGCCCACACCGAATCCTGGGGTGTGGCTGGCGCCCCGGAACCACCAGGCAGTAGCGGAGCTCCAGCCGTGTCTGCGGATGTTCCCTTCTAATTACCAAGCCCTGGGCTCAGACGCGTCTCCCTCCGTCTGCCGGGAACACACCAGCTTCGGGGAGTGGGTCTGGGGGAATGTGGGGGGGGGGGCAGCCTAGGGCAGCCCTTTGCCAACTGTCCCTCCAGAAGGACTGACCATGTCAGCCATGCAAGTCCCCTTCTGTGGGAGGCCCAGGGCCATTAGCTTGAGATCAGCCCTGTCCCTGAATGTGTCCGTGCCCACAGGACTTGCCTGATTGATTTCATACTGCTGCTATGTCCCTCCCAGGCCACAGGGAGTGGCCCCACACAGCCAGCAGATAAATCAGCCCGCTGACCAGAGCCTGCGTGCTGGGAACCACAGACACGGCCACTGCCTCATTAGACGCGTTCAGCTGCCCAAGACAGGACTTAAGGGCTGCCTGACCCGGGGGCACTGGATGGCTCCCGCTGCAGCTGCCTCTGGGAGCCCAGACAGGCCCGGGCCGGGAGCAGGCTGCTCCAGTGGGAGGCTTGGTGGGAGCACGGAGACCTGGGCCGTGGGTGCCTTCCCACTCTGCTCAGTCTGCCTGCCGGTTTATGTTTGGGGACCCTCACAGTTCACAGAAGAGGCTTATGGGAATCCCAAATGCAGAATGGAAAATCGCGAGCCAGCCCTCTGGGCCAGGGATCATGTCTAGGAGAGCAGGAGGGCAGAGCCGAGTCCTCCACGGGGACAGAGGCTGAGCTGCACTTAGGCATCCACTGGCCAAAGCAAAAAGGGAGCCGTGATCGGCGGCAGCCCGCCAGCCGCAGGCCCCGCCTCAGGTCAGGCCTGCCCGCCAGTGCCCGGGCCGCCTCTGAGCCTGGTGCCAGTCACGCCTCAAGGAGAGCCACGGTGATTGAGGTGAGAGAGGAGCAGGGTTCTGGGCGGACCCAGACTTAGCCAGGAGGACCCAAGTTCAAAGCTCAGTTCTCATCAATCCCCCAACAGCCCCAGGACCCCCCACCCCCACCCCCGCTCCAGTTGCTCAGTATAAACTGAGGTCACACCTTGCGCACGTGCATGCACATGCACGCACACACTAAGTCAAAATGGCACCTCCTGGCCATCCAGGACGGCCACCAGGTCTGGGAATGGACCCAGATGCCACCGAGCAGGTGGGGTGCACCCTGCCCTAGTGGGTGCCCACCACGAATGCCCTGCCGAGCTCACCTCGTACAGCAAACAGCCCAGGGACCAGATGTCGGACTTGAAGTTGTATCCGTTCTCATGGATCCTCTCGGGTGACATGTAGTATGGCGTCCCCACTGAAACAGCAAGGGGGCGGGTGCTTATTCTCTGCAGAGCATGGGGCGGGGGGATGGTGGATAGACCTGGGCTCTTACAGGGACTCTGGGCAGTGCCTTTCCCTCCTGTCGCTGCTTCCAAACGAGAGGCGGGGCCAGGTGCTCCGCTTTAGTCTGTGGCTTAAGGCTGGGGCTCTGCTTCATCAGAGGGGGGGTGAACACAGCCCCTCCTGTTAGCCAGTGTCCCCTGGGAGTAAGTCTGTGAAACCTGATTTTTATACTGACGAGTCCTCATTCTGAAGCATAGTGCAAAACTTGCATTAGTTTTCAAGATAAAGATGAGAGACTTCAAAGGCCCTGGAGAATGTATCCCGAACCCCAGGGGGGCAGTGACGGGAAGAGTGGGAGAGGCTGGGAGAGGAGGCGCCCCAAAGGCCAGGTGGACAGCCCTAGTCCTGACCAGGGCATCCTCTGCGGGCAGGCAGGGCAGCAGCACAGTCGGACAGGGATGCTCAGACCTCAGCCAGCAGCAGATTCCCTTCCAGCAACATCCCCCTCAGACCAGCCAGCCTGAGCCACCCTCTCCTCACAGTGGGGGCCCCAGCTCTGCATATGAAAGAGGCGCCTGAGAAACCCTGACCCTCCTGCCTCTGTACCTAGAACGCCCAGATTTCAAACCCAGCCAGATATCAGAGGGGAACCAGGACCTCAAAGCCCAGGCTGATTAAAGGGGCCCGCTTCCCGAGATGCACCTGTCAAAACAAACTTGGCCGCGGTGTGAAATGCTCTCGGTGTTTGAAAGGCTCATTAGCTATGAAAAAGGCAAAGATTCCTCATGGTGTCTGCGGCTGCAGGGCTCCCACGCGGAGTGGGAGTGACTGGAGGGACCGGGCCTCGCCTGGGCCGGACAGCATGGCTGGGCGAGGGGGGACTGGGAGCTGCACCCCGAGCCTGCCTCCAGCCGCTCCCCAGCAGAGAGCCGAACAGCTCCTCGCCTGGGTGTCCCCACCAGGGAAATGCAGAGGCCCAGCTCGTGGTGCCGGGGCCCTCCCCTCCCTTTGGAGCCCTGGTTTCCGTGTGGAAGGTGGGACAGCAACCTCCTGCAGGTTGAAGGGAGAGGATGGCGAGAGCAGGACAAGAACCAAGGAGCTTCTGGAACTCAAAGAGCAGGTTCCTTGGCATTGGGCAGTGTGAGCTGCACTGCTCTCTGTGCTCCACCCCAGCATCCCACCAGGCCCCATATTCTGAGGTGTCCCCTTCCCCCTGCCAGCAGTCACCTGGACAACTAACTGGCTTCATTCCTCCTATCCTGCCCATCCCCACCCACCCTACCCACCAAAGCAGGGGCCATGCCCCCCACGCCCAGCTGGCTCCTTATCCCCCACAGGAGGAAGGCCAGACTGTCCACATCAATACATGTACACACACCCACATGCCTGCATGCACACACACACACACACACACACCACATGTGCATACCCACACGCGCACACACAGCACACCCTCATCAGGCTCATCTGTGTCACCGCTCATTATCACGTCCTCCCTCAGTGAATCACCAGCTGACCCCATGCCGTGCTGCACATCGCTCTCAGGAGAGGCGGCGACGTTGGAAAATCCCTGTGCTTTTCAGCAGCATTGGCTTAATTTCACATTGTTTGCATTCGTACCGGTACCTGCCTACTTCTAATTCCTACAGTAAGGAATCGTGGGTGCAGTTCCTTGATTCCAAACAGCTGAGTGTGTTCCTAGGTATTGGGGTCTCACCCACTGACTCGGAGTCAGGTGGGAAACCTCGTCTCGCCCTCGCCCACCTTACTGCACCTGGGCCCCCCATCTGATCACCTGCTCCGGCGACTCCCACCCCAGGTGCCTGTGCTCAGTGAGGCCAGCCCGGGGATGTACTGGCTAGAACAATGCTCTTCTCAGTGAAGCCTCTAAATGCATGTCCATCCCGGCGGGTAAGTTCCAGAGGATGGACTTCCCGTGAGGGCAGGGCCTGGCCCAAATCCTTCTTGAGCAAACGAGTGAACAGACAGACAAGGGCAGTTTGCTTCCTAGGCCTGATCAATTCCACATTTGCAGTCCCCTGAGACACCCTCCCCCTTTCTCTCTGGCATCAGATTGTCTTGCTCTCACACTTCGTGTCCCTAAAAACACCAGCGACACCGCAGACAAAGCAGGCACCGCCGGCTAGATCGCTGTGGCCGCCCGTGACCTCCTACCCGGGTGTCAGCTCTCAGAACTGGGATTTACCTGCCGAAACAGCTTTTCTAGGCCAGGTGTCCCGGGCTGCTGGGATGGGTGGGAGGAGGCCCAGGGACACATCTACGCAGGCTCTGTAACCACACTGACATGGCCCCTAGGGGTGCCTGGCTGGGAGGACCGGCTACACACTTGGCAAAGCTTCCACGGGGCCCATCTCCTGGGAGTGCTGGCACTCACCAAGGAAGGAGGCTCCACCCGCTTCCCTGGGGCAGGACCAGCCCTGGTCCTCTCTGCCCGGCTGTGAGGTTGGATGGGCTTCTCCCCCGAGTGGCTGTCCCTGCACCCAGAGCTCCTCAGGACCCAAGCCCACATCCCAGCACCCGGGCTCGTGCCTGGAAAGGAGCGGCAGGCACCCTGAGGGCTCCAGTCCCCATTCCCTTCTCTGAGCCTCAGTTTCCTCATCGGTCAAATGCAGAGAATAAGCCTCAGTGGGATGAGTTTTGAAAAGCACATCTTTTGCCGGGACTGATTTGGCTCAGTGGATAGAGTGTCGGCCTGCGGACTGAAAGGTCCCGGGTTCGATTCCGGGCAAGGGCATGTACCTTGGTTGCGGGCACATCCCCAGTAGGGGGTGTGCGGGAGGCAGCTGATCGATAATTCTCTCTCATCGATGTTTCTAACTCTCTATCCCTCTCTCTTCCACTCTGTGAAAAATCAATAAAATATATTTTTTAAAAGAAAAGCACATCTTTTTCAAGCAGCTTGTAAGCCTTGCTTTCTTGGTTGACTCACCTATTCAGTGAGCTCAGTGACCACACAAAACCGAAATGAAGGGCAGCCCTGGGAGGGGCCGAGGCAGCCCCATGTCCCTAGTTTCCACGGGGAGCTCAGCACTGTGCCTGCATACAGTGGGCTTTCAGGACACGGTGCCACCCATCCCCACCCCAGGCCATCCCGGGACTGACTGTGTCTCCTGAGAGCAGGGAAAGCTGCTTAATCTCCTGCCCTCTACCCAGGCCGGGGCAGGGAGAGGGAAGAAAGGATCGCCCTGCAGCCAGGGCGGGGCTGGCGCCTGGGGAAGCCAGCAGGTCCTGCCCCCTCTACCTGATGGGCAGGTCGCTCCTGACCTGACGGAGAGGCGGTGTGAGCCGGCCTCACTCCCACCCTGACTCCCGCTCCAGGCCGCCCTGTCACGGCTGCTGAGAGGCAGGGCCTGCTCTCCCAGCCCCACAATTTGTCTTGCAGCTGCTGCCGTTGCTCGGAGCGAGACACTTGCTTGTAGCTTGTGAGCTGTGTATAGGCAAATCTTTCATTTTTCTTTCATTACGCCAGCGTGTACTGTCACTTAATTTTTATGTATGCAATCCTTCCTGACAAATATGATCTGCTGCCTGGTAATTCGTCTGACGCTCATTCTGTTCCGCGCTCTAATTACGGCTCCTATGCCTGACACCGAGGCAGCCGCTCTGCCACCGCTGGGTACCGCACCTGTCAGCCCGGCCATGGCATGACTAATGCCCTTTCATGCCAGCCTCGTGTTAGCAAATACAGAGGCGGGGAGGGGGCTGGGAAAGGGGGCAGCAGGGGAAATGGGATTTGCATAAACCCTGCCAATGGGTCTGCCGCTCAGGAGAGGAGGCGGTTGCCAGGGCAACGCGGCTGCCACCACGGCAGCCCCGCATAGTAGGTGCGCACAGATGCATAATCCAAACCCCCGCGTCCTTCCTGAGTCGTGAGCCGAAGGCAATGACTTCTACCTCTCCCAGCTAACGGGGGTGCCAGCCTTAGTCAGTGGCTTGCAGAATCTCCCTGGGGAAGTAGGTCTTTCTCCTGCATCTTGGAGACTTCAGGTCCCAGGCTTTGGCTCTGGCTTTGGCTCACCCCCCCCCCCCCACCGCCCCGTTCTGGGGCCACGACCCCAAAGAGATCTGCTTCCACCCACCACACCCAGCAGCCGCTCGGAGGCCTCGGGAAGAGCTGGGCGTACGGGGCAGCCTTTTCCCAAGTCCCAATGCCTTCTCATTAATATAATAAGCGCAGCAGTCAAGTCGATAAGCCCGTGCTGTCGCCGAGCCCGTCCGTGTTCCTGCCGTTCCTAATGATGTGATCCTAACCCGCTCTGACGAGCACCCCAGCCGCCCCCAGCGGGACGGAGCAGGGCTGGGCCTGACTGACAGGGAAGGGAGCCAGTGGCTCCGACTCTCCCCTCTGACGGCGTCCCCTGGGTTTCTGGCCTTTTGACGCTCTCAAACCAGAGACGTACACAGTCCCAGACTGACAGACACACTGGTTTTCACAGAGGGGCTGAGGGGCGGGGGAGACCAGGTGTCTCCGGGGAAGCCCCAGCATTGCCCCCCCCCCCGCCCCCCACGGCCCTGGTGGAGGCTGCATGGGCCCGGCCGGGCCAGGCCTGCATCCGGGCTGGGCTGGGACTGCTGCTCAAGCTCCCAGGTTTCAGACCCCTCGCCGGCTCTCTGAGGCCTGAATGTAGCGTCACAGACTCGGGTGGTGGCGGTTCTTTCCTTTGTGAGCTAATGGGAGACCAATGACACGCCGGGCATCCTCAGGGTCAGATGGAGCTGAGTTTCACGCCCCCGCGCACACTCATGCACATACACGCTCACCTGTGCACAGACACGCACTGGCATGCACACACTCACACGCTCACACCCCGATGAGCAGCTCCGAGCACAGTTCTCCTGATGGCGCGCTGTCCTGAGCGCCCGCCCGAAGGGCCGGAGAGGGGCGCCCTGCCTGCCTGCCCGGTGATCGCCGCTGCAATACGTGAGGCCCCGTGCCCGTGTCCCCGGGCTCTGCCGGCTCCTCTGTTCTGGTTAACTGCGACCCCGCCGCCATTCCAGGTTTCCCAGGCAGCTGCGTAGCCAGCACGCGGTTCTGAAGCTCAACACGACTCACCTGACCCGAAACACACGCCTGACCCAGCCTCTCTCCCTGCCGCCCCCCCAACCCGAAACACACCCCTGACCCAGCCTCTCTCCCTGCCCCGCCCCCCCGACCCGAAACACACCCCTGACCCAGCCTCTCTCCCTGCCCTCCCGGGACCTGCACCCCCCCCCCCCCCGACCCGAAACACACCCCTGACCCAGCCTCTCTCCCTGGCCCCCGGGCCTGGCCCTCCTTGCTCCTGGGATGGTGCGTGCCCATGGAGCCTGGCATCCAAGGCCCCACTGCCTCCCTGCCACCGAGGTCCTGGGACCCCGCTCCCCTCTCCCCAGTTCCCCCCGTGCTGCCTCACCGGCTCCTATTCACCCCCCAGAGGCCAGCCCAGTGCCCCCTCCGCCCGGGGCACTCAGTCCCCACGGCTTCAAACTGCCCGTTCGAAAGACAAAGGTGAAAACAAAAACAAACAAACACACAAAAGACAAAGGCGACAGCTCGAGTGTCCGTCCCCCAGCAGAGGCAAGGACCGCGTTCGGTGCACCTATGGGTGAGACACTACGTGGCAACCAGAAAGACGGGGTGACTACCCTGTGCCACCACAGAGCCACGGCTCCCCACTCCCACGGGCTCAGCCATCCTTTCCTGGACACAGGGAGGCCAACCAGGACCCCGCGTCTCGGGTGACTCCCTCTGGGTCACCGTGCTGAGGAGCGAGCAAAGGCTGGGGTTCAGGAAGGCACTTTCCGCGCTAACTCAGAAGGCGCGGGGGGACTGTCCACACCTCCCCCACGGCCACGGCCACGGCCACGGCCACGGCCACGGCCACGGCCACGGCCACGTCCCGGCCACGGCCACGGCCCGGGGCTGGGCTGCCGGGCGTGGGCCCCTTACCGAGCGAGTGGGCCGCGGTGGTCTCGGAGCTGAAGAAGCGGCCCAGGCCGAGGTCCCCGAGCTTCACGACGCCCGTGGCCGTGATGAACACGTTGGCCGGCTTGATGTCTGCGGGGGGAGGAGAGGGCGCTGCTGTGGGGTCAGGGGGACACAGGGCAGGCCGGGGGGGGGGGAGAGGCAGGTCTGCAGGGGGCTGGGGCCCGGCCCTGCGTCCTGCTCCCTCCGAGCAAGCCCGGCTCCCCAGCTGGGGGCCCTGAGCCCAGCTCACTGTCCGCACCTGGGCGGCCTGACTGCGGACCGCAGGCCGCTGGGAGGCCGGAGGCGGCCTCTGTGCTGCTGTGTCCTTTCCAGAGCTGCCCCCTGTGCCTGGCACGGTGCCGGGCACACGGCAGGTGCCACGTAGGAGAACATACGTCACGAGCGGAGCCAGTGCTCAGCGGGGCTATGGCGCTGCTCCCGGGACGGGCCGAACACAGGTGGGGGAACGAGGGGAGGAATCAGGGCAGGAGCCTGCGCCAGCACCAGCCCCTCCTCCCTCGCGGTGCGGGATGACGCCAGCTTTCGCGAACTTTCCTTCGCAGGGACCTGGTTTCCTTGGCCCAGCCGACTCCCAGGACTCTGAAGCCTGGATCCCAAGTTCCCTTCCCTGAGCTGCAACCCCCCCGCCCCCCCCCCCCGTCTCCTTGGCCAGCCCCTCCCCCGTCCTCCTGCCCCCTCCTCCGTGCTGGCCCCTCTCCCCGGGGTCCGGGGGACCATCCGGCTCCCCCCGCCCCCCGGGGGACAGAGGCCTCACGTGCCCCCGCGGTGACCTCGCCACGGACAGACAAGGTGCCCGGCACCCGCTGTCGGGGACACGGAGCGGCGGGCCCCGGGGTCCGGGCCGCGGGGGCGGGCGCGCACCTCGGTGCATCACCCGGCGCGAGTGCATGTGCTCCACGGCGCTGCACAGCTGCGCGAAGTACTTCCACACCGTCCGCTCCGGGATCAGCCGCTTCTGCTTCTTGAAGAACTGCGGGCGGACAGACAGGGGGACAGCGTGAGGGCCGGGAGGGGGCGGGGCCCTGGCCCGGGGCGCACGGGCCCCGAGTGCCCCCCCTCCCCCGTGGTCCTCTGTGCACCCCCTTTCCCCGCCAGTGGTGAGCCCCCTGCAGATTGGGGGCCTGGCCACACCCTGCAGGCTGCTCTCAGTCACACTTTTTCTGGAAGCCCCTGGACACATGTCCGTCTCCCCCACCCCCCTACCCACAGGGGGCGCTGTGCGGAGTGGACAGGCGTGGCAGAGTGGACTCTCTGCGCCCAGCCCTGGCCTGGCCCGGCACAGGGGACTTGGGGGTGACACCTCGGCTGCCCCTCCTCAGCGCTGGCACGTCTCAGCCGCGTGCCCGCTCACAAACACGGCAGGACCCCAGGGGAACGGGCCTGGCATTCTCTGCCCCCCGGCTGTCAGCCTCCATGGACTGAGAGTGGCGGGTGGTCTGGGGTGTCCTGGGGCTGGCAGTCCGGTGCCCTCCCTGTGGGCCACACTCTGGGGTCTCTTCTCGGTCCTCTCTGCTCCTCCCCCGCTCCAGCCCCCGCTGGGTATCCAGTCTTCCTTCCAGAACACAAAGCCGACCCTGTTACTACCGCCTGAGTCTCAGGAAGCTTCTCCATGCCTCAGGGCAAGATCCCAAATTCTGAGCCTGGACCGTGAGGCCTGGGCGTCCGATGCCTCCCCGTCTGCACTGCTCTCCCGGCCAAAGTGCTCTGTGGCCCCTCAGTTCCCATCCCACTGGGCTCCTGCACCAATGGTTCTGCCACTGGACTTGGGGTCCCCCTCAGGCAGACTCAGGTGTCCCCGCGCCAGGAAGCCCCCCCTGGCCGGCAGGCCTGACTGGGATTATTCTGGCTATCTCACACCGATGGTTCTCGGCTCTGCTCTGCACCCACCCCCCCTCTCCCCCAGGGCAGCACCCGTGGGGCAGCACCCCTTGGTCTCAGGATGGGCCTGGCACACAGCGGGTGCCCGGTGCATGCGTGTTCAGGGGGAGCACGCGTGTGAAGGAGAAACTGCATTGGTGGGGGGAGAAGGAAGAACTAAGACATGATATAGCACATCTGTTCCCACCAGGGACGTGTGGAGATTAACATCCCTGCAAACGCATTAACATGTCAACGGGACCGGGAAAGCAGGTGATAACAGCTCAAGTAACGCTGCTTCCCAGAGACGCTTATTCCTAGGAGCCTGATTCCAGGAGAGCAAGCGCCGAGCAAGTGCTCAGTCCCCAGTGCCTGGTGGGAATGATGGAGAATCCGCTCTGGTTCCATTCGAGAGTGTGGCTGGGAGCTGAGGGGGGCTGGGGCTGGGGGTTGAGGGCTGGGGTGTAGGGAGGCAGGCTGCGCTTGAGCCGGTTCACTCTTGCTCAAGATGGACGCTCACCATAGCGACCAGCAGACAAGCCGGCAGGGAAGCCCGGAGAGAGAAACAAGCAGGAGGGCTGAGGGCTCGGGCCTGACGGTCCCATGGAGAGGCTGTGCTGCCACAGGCAGGTGACCAGACCTCTCTGAGCTTTGCTGAGAACAGTGCGGACTCCGTGAGTGATGCTCGTGGTCAGCACACTGCGCCCACAGTAGGCGCTCCGTCAGGGGCTGCCGTGATCCCTGATCCTAGACTCCGTGACCTGGTCCTGCCCCAGAGGGGGCGAGGGTGGCGTGCCGGGAGGGCTGCGTGGAGAGGACAGGAAGAGCCAGGCCTGGCCCTGAGCCGCCTGCGGAATGAGGCGAGTCAGCAGCCTCTGGGAGACCCCCGGCCTTGGCCGCTGCGGGGGAATGAAGGTGCCCCTCGGGCTGGACGGGCCTCAGGGACATCACCCGAGGGTCCCAGAGACCTGGGCGACGGGTCCAGCTCTGTCCCCACACTGCTGGGTGTCCCCAGGAAAGTCTCTTAACCTCTCTGAGCTCCGTTTTCCCATCACAGGACACTTTCCCAGATTCAGGAGCAGGGTTCGGTGCCCGCTCCTGTGAGGCTGGAGCCATGGCAGCTGGGACCACGGCGGGGGAGAGGGATCCTTCCTGTCCACGCTGGCCCTCTCACGGTACAGGGGGACGGGGCCTGAGGCCCGTGGGCTCAGCAAGGGGGGCTGAGTCCCGGAGGACCCAGACCCTGCCTGCCCCTGGGCCGTCCCAGACCCTGCCTGTACCGGCACCCTCACCTTGATCATCTGTGAGAGGTCGCCCGCGTCCGCCAGCTCCAGCACAATGTTCAGCTCGTTGTCCTCGATGAACGAGTCCAGGTACTTGATGATGTTTGGATGGTTCAGTTGCTGCCCAAGGGGAGAGAGAGAGAGAGAGAGAGAGAGGCAGTCAGCGAGAGATGGGCGCCCTGGCATTCGCTGGAGGGGAGAGTGTCTTATGGAAAAGGCCAGTGCGTGGGAGTCTGGCAGAGCCGGGTGACACTTTGCGTCTCAGTCTCACTTTCCTCATCTGTAAAATGGGCACAATGCCGTGCAGATTAGGTGAATACCCTTGAAATGTCCAACAAGGTGCCCAGAGCGAAGGGCAGGGCAGGGCAGGGCAGGGCAGGGGGAGACGGGCCATCAATAGAAGGTCCCCTCCGATCTGCCTCCCGCGCCAGCTGCATCCCCTGCGCTCAGACACGGTCCCGAGCCCACGAGTGCGTGGTTCTGTGCTGTGGTCCCACCGGTCACCCCCCTGCCCCTCCCGCCCCGGAGGCCTCGGGTCTCGGGTCCCGGCGTGAGCCACACGGACACGTCACCCGGCGGCCCCTTGGAGAGCGGGTTCCCTTTGTTTCGCAGGAAACGCCTCCTGCCCTGGCACGTCCTGTTGACTTCCCACAGGCAGGGCAGGAGGGAGCCGGGTCGGCGTCCTGGGAAGGTCCTGGCGTTGCCCTCCGTGACCACAAGGGCTGCCGCTGGCAGAGCACCAGGCCCGACCAGGGCTGCCCTGAGCGCCTCGGGCACCTGCTCACCAGTTCCCGCCGCCCCGAGGACGCCACTGTCCTCTCGCCCTTGCACGGATGAGGAGGCTGAGGGCCTGACCGTCGGCAGCTTGCTCACCGCACGCCGAGAGTGAGCGGGGTGTCTGACCGGAGCCCGCAGTCCCCGGAACTCAGTGCCCCGCCGGGAAGGGCCAGGCCGCGCCCACAGGCCCCGCTCGCACCACGCCGGCCTGCTGCACCGGAGGGCTGTGCTCACACGTGTCTGTACCCAGGCACCCGAGACAGGCGGTCTCAGCTCAGTCCACAAGTGTGTGCAATTCCTTACTCGACGGGGATGGCACACGTGTGTTCGTGGCCAAGGGAGGAGGGGGTAGGGGGTGGGGTCCGGGCCAGCTGTTCCCCCAGGCTGGCTAATCAGGAAGCGGCCCCCAGTCCTCACCGTCGGGGTCCCTGCAGCAGGCTCCCCTTGCCTTCCAGGTTCTGGAACGGGCCCCGGCCTCTGAGGGCTTCCCCTGGGCACCATGGCTCCTGAGCTGGCCGGCAGCGCCCTGAATGGCCACCCTCTGCTGCCTGCCTGGGTCCCCAGGGTCAGGGCCAGGCCCGAGCGCCCAGAACCCTGCGCTGGTGTCTCAGAGGGAGGCCCCTTCTCCGTCCTTCTGGCTCAAGAACTGCTTCATGGGCTGTTTTCCCAAAGCAGGGAAAACCTGCTGACTCCTCTTCCTCCTCCTCCTCCTTCTCCTCCTCCTCCTCCTCCTCCTCCCATTCTCCTCCTCCATCACTTCCGAGATCTCAGCAGCATCCTACCCTGGGGGGGGGTGGGGGGTGGGGAGGGATCCCCAGGAGAGAGCAGCCGGGACCAGGGCCAAGTCTAGCGCAGAATGTCCTCCAACCTCTGACCCTGGGGAAGCCAACCACCCGCGCCCTGCACACCTCCCCCTGGTCAGGCCCGGTCCCGTCCGTCCTGTTCCGGCCCAGCGGAGGGCTCACCTTCAGGAGGCCGATCTCCTTGACGCAGTCCTGCCGGGCCTTGGCGTCCATCATCTCAAATATCTGGGGCGAGAGGAGAAAGAGAAGCAGGACGGTTAGAACCCAGCGCCATGTCCTGGTTCAGCCCCCTCCTTGCCGAGTGGCCCTGCCCGTGAGGACAGCAGCGCTGCCGCGTGGGCCCCGGCCACGTGCCCGGCGCCATGCTGGCCGCTTTGGGCTGGATCCTCTGGGCGACTCCCACGAGGCAGGAGGTACGGTCACTGACACACAGAGGAGGAGACTGAGGCCCGGAGGAGCCCAGGGACTCGCTGAGGGCACACCCTGAGGAGCGGCAGGCCAAGAAACACCCTCAGAGCCTCAGTCTTCCCCTCTGTGAATGGGGCCCATAGCCCGAGCTGGACAGAGTGAGAGGGTGAAGGTCAGCCCTTGGCACCTGGACCCTCCTCCCCCGAGGGCCAGCGCTCACTCAGGGTGGGTCCTCCCTCCACCTTTTTTTTTTTTTAAAAATATATTTTATTGATTTTTCTTACAGAGAGGAAGGGAGAGGGATAGAGAGCTAGAAACGTCGATGAGAGAGAAACATAGAGCAGCTGCCTCCTGCACACCCTCCCTCCCGGGGATGTGCCCGTAACCAAGGTACATGCCCTTTACTGGATCGAACCTGGGACCTTTCAGTCCGCAGACCGACGCTCTACCACTGAGCCAAACCGGCTTCGGCTCCCTCCACCTTCTGATTGACAGGAACAGGAGACGGTGGGCAGGCCAGCAGCCTCGTCACCACAGCCGTCATGACACAGATAAAACCCGGACCAAAGGAGCTCAGGGAAGCAAAGGACAGAACGAGGTCCTTTTCTGATCAGAGGCGCCCATTTCTCCTCCAGGGCCTGGGGGTTGTGTGCGAGGCCTGAGTCAACAAGAAGACTGATGCCAGCCGAAACCGGTGTGGCTCAGTGGCTAGAGCGTCAGCCTGCGGACTGAAAGGTCCCAGGTTCGATTCCGGTCAAGGGCATGGACCTTGGTGGCAGGCACATCCCCAGTAGGGGTTGTGCAAGAGGCAGCTGGTCGACTTTTCTCTCTCATTGATGTTTCTAACTCTCTATCCCTCTCTCTTCCTCTCTGTAAAAAAAAAAATCAATAAAATACATTTATTTAAAAAAAATAATAATAAGAAGAAAACTTACAGCGGGCAGCCTCCACCGGCTGCCACCCCAGGACCGGCTGCCACCATGGGACCGTGCCTGTCGCCTCCTCTGTCCAGGCCACCCCCCTCACACAGGGGCTCGGGAAGCTCAGTGGAGGATGCAATGGCGTCTCCTGCAGTGAAGCAGCGGTCCCAGGGGCCCAGCGGCTCTCACCAGAGTTGAAATGCGTCCTGGCCAGGGTTTGCTGCTTAAAACCGTCCACTCAACCCCCTCCTGCCGTCTGGGAGGGACACTCGGACCCAGTGCAGGCAGCAGGGTCGTGGGCCTTAGTTAAGGTGACCAGACAGCCCGCTTTCGGCGGGACAGTCCCGATTTTTAAGCATTTGTCCCGCGTCCCTCGGCGTTTTAAAACGCTGTGGGACGCGGGACAAATGGTTAAAAATCGGAACTGTCCTGCTTTTCTGAGGGCTGGCTTGTCCTTCCCTGCTGGGCACCGGTCTCCTCTTCCGAGCAGCGGGATGCTAGTCCAGGGCCAGGGCTGCTGTCCAGGCTCCGTGAGCTCCCAGCAGGCCCGGTGCACACAGTAGGTGCTCTGTTTTTTCCTTTACGGCTCAGATTGCACCTTCAGGAGTCTGCCCGGGTCTCTCATACCCAGTGAGCTGGGCACTAATTTCCCTTCTTTTCAGCGAGAGGCAGGGGAGCGGGAGGAGGGGGAGGGATGGCCCGGGGCCACCACAGGGACGCGGGCTCCCGCACGGCGGCTCTGACCCACGGGGTCGCCGGCTCACCTGCACCTTCTTCAGAGCCACCGTCTTCCTGTCCAGCAGGCAGGTGGCCTTGTACACCTCGCTGAACTGCCCCCGGCCGATCTTCTTCTCGATCTGGAAGTCTGCCAGCGAGCAGCGGAAGGACAGGGCGTTCGGGTGCCGCTGGAGGGGAGACAGGGGCAGCGGCGTCCAGCCAGGCCGAGGCGGGGTGTGCCCTCCCCGGCGGTCCTCCGAGGGGCAGGAGGGCTCCGGTCGCCACCGCCCCATCATCCTCACCGCCCGACCCCCCGCTCTCCACACCCACCCCGGTGCTCCCCGCAGGGACCCCGCTCCGCAGACGAGAAACGGGGCTGCTGGCTTCCTCCAGGCCCTTCTCACGCCCCCTCATGATCCCATTACGGGCTCCTCTGCTCCCTTCTGCCCGCCTCCCCCCGGCACCCCCACCGTGGGCCTCTCCGAAAGCGGGCTCCTGTCTCCGTCCCCTCTGTGTCTCCGGAGCTGAGGCACGTGCCGGGCATGTTTGCTGAATGACACATGGCATGTGCTCAACACCGGTGCCCGGTGGGACGTGGTGACTGCCCACGGTCACTTCTGGGTGCCGCACCCCTCACAGGGGGTAAGGCCAGCACCTGGAGGAGTCACACGCACTCCGGGAATCCATGACACGCTGCCACGTGTTAGGACCTACTATGTGCCCGTTACTGTACTGGCTGCTTAGACAGGTTTTGTGGCTTAGACCTTCGAACAGCCTTGTGAATCCCACTTTATAAATAAGGACAGGGAGTCCCCGGCCCCCCGCCAGGCAGTGGGAGCTGGGACTTGAGTGCCCGGGGATCAGAGCCAGCGGCACTGCTGGGTGACATGGGACCCTCCCTCTCTGGGCCTCAGTTTCCCCGCTGGGACTTGACGTGCTTGGAGGATGTGATCTCCAAGGGTCCTTGCTCTGGGAACCTGGGCTCTCCTCCTCAGGATGCGTGCTGGGCCCCCGCCCCCTCCCTCCCCGCAGGGATGGCCACAGAGCCCCTGCCCCGCCCCACAGCCTCCAGGGAGCTCTCAGAGGAGTGGGTGACAGCCCGGCTGGCTGGCTGCCGCTCCAGCTGCACATCTGCATATGCGATGACCCAGATTTGCATTTCCTGTCACAACCCATTCGACCTAATTAGAGGAATGAGCTCCCGTGGAGGGGCAGGTCACTGGGGCAGCAGCACGGGCCAGGGGGCCGCCCAGGGCTGGCTGGGGCCCATCGCCGGGGTGGCCTCGGCGCTGGCGGGGGTCACTGAGGGACACGGGCCTCCAGGCGCAGCCGCCTGAGCCAGCAGGGTCCTGACCCTGACTCCACTCCGGGGCTGTGAGCGGAAAAGGAAAGGTGACCGGAGCGCTCGCCCCGAGAGACCAGGCCGCTCTGTGCTGCCGCCTCCAAGGCCTTCCTTGTCCCGGGTGAGCCCTCGGCAAGCTCCACTCTGGCCCGGGCGGCCGTGAGGTCGTCCACGGCCTGGCCTCTAACACCAGCCTCATGACACCTCCACGAGGTCCAGGGAGATGATCGGGAGTAAAAGGTCCCTAGAGCTCTAAACTGTGGGGCGAACACGGGCTGGGCCCAGACAGCGCACACCAGGGGGCTCACTGTCCGGATCCTGGCGGCCTCCTGGGAACTGCTCATCGGATGGTCTGGGCCAGGCTGGCTCCTGGGGGAAATGAACAACCTCCAGGGACACGGGGCCCAGAGCTCGGATTCAGGTCCACGTTCTGTCACTTCCTGGCTGTGACCCTTAGGCAAGCCCTTCTGGGATTTCCTAACCTGTGAGCCCCAGGGGGGTGAGACAGGTGAATGAATGGACGCAGGCGGCACACAGGAACGGCTGTGTGTCACTGGCGTTGGCGTTGGTGTTGGCGTGGCAGATGCCTGTGGCACAGCAGCACCTACTTCCCGGGGGGCTGGGTGGTCGGAGGCAGGGTGTGTGCAGCATCCGGCCTGGCAGACGCCTGGCCCAGGACGCAGTGAAGGGCATCCTCGCTTCGGTTACCAACGTCACAACCGCCCTCCTCCCCACGGAGGGTCTGCACTGAGGGGAGGCCCAGCGCTGGCCTCTTTCGCTGTGAAAACTAAAATGGTTTTTACACAATAAGAGTAAGATCAACGGCCTGCCATTTCCGAGATGCGGAATGTCACGCTGGATGTTTCAAGTTTACCATCTCACGTAGCCTCCGTGGCCCCATTTCACAGATGAGGAAACTGAGGCTCAGAGAGGTCATTTATCTAAGGTCACCTGGCTGCAATAAAACAGTGACATCTGAGACTGCTAGCCAAGGGACTGCACTCTCCTTGGCCATTTCTGACTCCTCAGCCTCTCCCTGGGCGGGAGCCCTGTAGTTCTCCCCCGAAGGTAGAGGAGATGGGGTGGAGGGCTGGGGAGGCAGTGGGGATGCCAACCCAGGCACTGCTGCCAGTGGCAGGGGCCTGAGGGAGGAGGCCTGGAATCCCCAGAAGGCCACAGAGAGAAGGGGGCCTCTGGAGGCAACTCTGGGGGTCAGGCTAAGGAGCCAAGAAGATGGCGCAGGCTCCCGAGTCACCTCTATCCCCAGCCCACCCTCCCAAGAAATGCTGCCAGGCTTCTGGGCCAAAGACGGACGTATAGGGAAGGGGGTACCTGGGACCCCTCGGGACCCCCCTCTTCCCCCCGGAATACTGAGAGAAATCCCGCTTTCTCCTCGGAGTCAGATCAAATTAAGCCACACAGGCCCCTCGTCCGGAGCTAATTTGAGTTAAAAATGTTTGAACCACAGTAAGCCTTGGCCATCGACAAATTCTTTTTTTTTTTTTTTTTCCCTTCTTTTCTCAAGCAGGAGCATAACATGCCATGTTAGAAGTATAAGAATGCATTCGCCCAATTAATTTCCTGAAATCTCATTAAAAAATGTAGCCTGACGAAGCCAGACTTCTGACCTGAATTTTAATCATCTTTACACTGGATGGGTCCCCCCGCCCGATATTTGCAATGCATCGTTAATTCTAAGGCGACCGCTGCTGGGATTGCAGAAAGCACACTTCATCAGAGTGACACTTCCTATCCACCATGTCCACCTTTAAAGACAGCTGACACCGTGCGTAAGGAACGTGGGTACGTGTATGTGGCTGTGCGTTTTAAATCCACGCTGCGGGACCGGGCGCGGTTCACACAGACTCCATACCGTCCCCGGCTCTCCGCAATCCGGCTAATTCCAAACTCAACAAGGTGCCTGCGGGCCACACGCCCAGGGCCACTCCCGCCTCTGCGCCTCCGAGCCAGCGGGCAAGTTATGCATCGCAGCGTCGCCCCCACCCCGCAGACGGGAGCGTGAACAAGACCCGCTGCTCCGAGCTGGTGAGAGGAGGGAAGGAGGTGGGTGCCACCACCACGCTGAGCTCTCGGCCCGGACATCCACACGCGGTGCTATGGGAACGGCGAGCGAGACGCCCGGAGCGCGGGAGACGCCTGGTAACAAAACCTACGGTCTCTCCATGGTCGCGGCTCCCGGGCCGACGCTCATTAACGAGCTCGGAGGTCGGCGAGAGCTGAGCTTAATTACACATACGGATGAGAGGCTCTGGAATCAGCTCCAAGTGACTAACGAGCTGAAGGGTGAAGCCGTGCGGAGCAGCATCCGTCAGCCAGAGGCTGGGCACGTCCTGGACTTCCCTCGCCCTCTTCCCTTCGGTCACCAAACGCAGGTAGCGTTTGCCCCCGGACTCTCTGAACTCTTCGCTCCTGTGTCCCACCTGGTTAAGGCTTAGGCTAAGGTGATCAGACGTCCCGGGACTTTTTTTTTAAAAAATGCTGTGGGACACGGGACAAATTGTTCAAAATCGGGACTGCCCCGCCCAAAGCGGGACGTCTGGTCACCTTAGCTTAGGCGTCAGCTCACCTCCTCACCTCCTCTTTCCACCTTTCCTGGGCCTCGAGCCGCAGCTGCCCATGATCCAAAACCTCAACCCCGTCAACTTCGAACCCACAACGGGCGCCCCATCTGCTGCCGAGTCCATTCCAAAGGACGCAGCGCGGGGGCCAAGCTTTTCGTCATGCCTGGCCGTTCTACCTCATCCGAGCACCGGGACTTAAGCCCTCGTCTAACCCGACTGGCCCTGCACCTTCGGGTCTGGCTCCTCCCTCTTCCTGGAACACGCAGACCCGAGGCACAAACGAGACAAGCGCTGGCCGAATGTACAGCAAAGCAAACTCTCCTTGAACCCTAATGACCATCAACGTTTGGTCATTAAATCTTCTCTAACGACCATCGTTGGCTCAGGAATATTTTCCTAAAGGTCTGGGCCTGTGCAATGCTGTCCTCATCGCCTGCAAAGTCAGGCGCGGTTCGTTCTCTCTCTCTCTCTCTCTCTCTCTCTCTCTCTCTCTCTCTCAGCGCCGAACACGGTGGAACTTGGCCCAGCCCAGGCAGGTCTGCACAGACTTCCAGATGGAAGACACATCAGCCAGGGCTTTCTCAGACAAGAACACGGTCCTCCTGCTCGGAAATTCATGTGGCTCTTCCTGGGTCAGCTGAGCCTTGCCTTTCATTCCTGATGAAAATGCTCTGCAGCAACTTGGGCAAAAAACATAAAGCAGAGATGCCTTTTCTCAACTGCATTCATTCATTCATTCATTCATTCATTCCCTTAAAAAAAGCCGGCAAATACTAGCTTTCCCGATTCCTAGTATATATGAATTTCACATATAATTCTGCCATGTTCAGCAGACATATTTTCATATGCGGATAGCTCTCAGAACTGGGAAGCTCCTGAAATGAATAAATCATGTGTCTTGGGCGCAGAAGATTATTAAAAATCGGAGGGCTACATTGTTGTGTCTACATTGGGGGTATTTCCAGCTCTGAGCTCTTTAGCTGTGAAAATGAAATTAAATTTTAGACTATTACCGTAAGATCAATGACATCTCATTTCCGTAACACCCACGATGCTGGGTGGCAGGCTGAATGTTTAACGTATAGCATCTCACTTAGTCTTCATGGCCCCATTTTATGGACGAGGAGACTGAGGCTCCGAGAGGTCAGAGGGATGGAGTTGGGGACAGAGCCCAGTCCGGTCCAGCGTGCGGCATTCCTGCCGCCGTGCAGCCTCGCTCCTGCCTCTGAGGATGGTTTTGGGGAAAGAGCAATGCCTTCTGCCATAAAGGAAAATGCCATCCATTGCAGGTGTTTCTCTGTCCTGAACCAGGCAAGGTTTGGGCCCTGTATCTCCTCAGATGGCATTTAAATACCAGACGAAGAGACTGGAGGTCCCAGGCTGTCCTTTGTCCAAACCAACCGTCCGCAGGCCCAGCATCACCACCACTGTTCTTCCCGCTCCTGCAAACCTGGACCAGGGCATCGACCTGGCAGGACTGGGGCACCGTCCCGACAGGCACTGGCCAACGCCGAGCCATCGTATCTAATGACACGTCACTATGTCATTACTGCGCCAACACGTGTGACGAGACGCCATGGCGGCTGCCGCCCCCGCCACCGCCACCGCCGCTGCCGCAGCCCAGCGCACCCTTGCTCGTGAAATAATTACGGGCTCTCTCCTCTGCCAAACGAGGCTGTAATTAACACTAATTGCTTGAAACGCAACTGGCTAATTCTGGGAGATTAATCAAGGGGGACCCGATTGCTGGTGAATGCTTAACGGGACAAATTGCTCCATTACCCGCGGAGGCCCCGCCCCCCCAGCCATTGCCGAGAGGTCCGGTGGACTCCGGACCGGCAGTGCCCACGGGCTGCCCAGATGTCTGCGATCCACTCCCCAAACTCCATCCAGGAAATGGGCCCCTGCATCTGAGCCAGTGACAGAAATGGAGAGTATAGAGGCCCTCAGACCCTTGTGCACTGTAGGTGCACCCACACCCACACACACATATGCAGTCTCTCCTAGTTCATATGTCGCCTCCGTGTGAATCTGGGAGTATGGCCTGAGGGGAGCACAGGGGCCAGAGAAGGACTCGGCACCTCTGTGTAGTGTGTAACCTGTGCAGCTCTGCCCACACAGGCTGTGCTCAGGCCACCCGCAGGCCTCCGACAGGGACTGCGCAGTTGGAGGCTGTGATGATCCTTCGTGGCGGAGGAAGGTGGCTGGCTGGCTGCCTCTGAGCCTCCCCAGACTGGGATCTCACAACCTGGGACACAAGCCAACCTGGACAATGACTTTTCATCATTCCAGGCTGCCCACAGGGCACCACGGCAACTGGCCCACCTGCTCTGCCCACGCCCTCTGTCCATGCCCACAGGGCACCATGGCGTCTGGCCCACCTGCTCTGCCCACGCCGTCTGGCCCCTGCAGGCCTGTGCCGGCCACTTCCTCTAGGAAGCCTCCCTGGCTTTGGGTCAGGCGCCTTGTTGGAGCTTCACTGGCTCCGAGTTTCCTGCATCCTCCGGTGAGACTGCGTGCTTGGTTAGAGCAGACGTGGGTCTGCGTGTTCCTGGGTGCACTACACGCATGTGCAGTGTATTAACTCAGCAGGCACCTGGGGGGCTCCGGAGGACGCTCTGTGTAAGGAGGGAAGGAGCCCCAGTGGGACGTGCTCAGGGCCGTGACCCGGTGCCCGGGCAGCACGGAGGAGGGGAAGGGGGAGGGGAGCAGGAAGGCTCCCAGAAGCGGTGGCGTTTCTGAGGCTTGGTGGAGGAGGAGTTGGAGGAGGAGGAGGAGGAGCTGGGGAGGGCGCTCCAGGCCCAGAGAACAGCCTGGGGTGTGCGAGCAGCTCAGAACCCCAACAGCTGCCTTCGGAAAAGCTGCGGAAGCCTGCCTGGCTCTCCAAGGCCCACAGGAGGGTGAGGCGGGCGGAAGGCAGCCTGTGGCTCTCCGCTTGGCTGGTTCTGGATAAAGCGGTTGAAAGGCTCACAGATCCGGCCCCGAGGAAGGAAGGTCATCCTGACCCCAAGTCCTCCCTGCCCATTTCCTGCACCCTCCTTTCTCCTCGGCGCTGCGCAGCTCCCTCCATGTCCACCTTCTCAGCGTACTGATCCCTCCAAGATAAAGCGGCTCCATTGGCATGGGAACCCCGGGCAGGCCCAGCGCCTGCAGCCCAGCCAGAGGCCGGCAGAGAGAGGCTCCCCGAGTGCCCCGAGTGAGATGAAGGGCTGGTCAGGCCAGGCAGTGAGCTCTGCTCCCGTCCCTGGGCACGTGCAGGAGGTGGCTCTGTCTCGGGGCTCCCTGCCCGCCCCACCCCCCTGTTGGCCAGGACATAGCAGCCTCAGGGATGGATGTGTTCCTGGGAGACTCCCAGCCCCTGCGGAGAGAGGACAAGCGCTTACCTGTGGGTCAGGAGGGTGCGCGGGCCCCGGGGCGTGGCACAGGCTGTTGGGGTTCCCTCCGTGGGGCATGTGGCTGGGCTGTCCTGCCATCCTGCATGCCAGCCTCACAGGGGCACGGGCTGCGAAAGAAAAGGACGGCCTTCTTGTGTATCTGCCGGTTTACTGTCTCCCCGACAGCCCGTGGGTGGGGGCAGCGCCTTCTTGGCCCCGGGTTTCAGGCGTGTGAGGGTGGCGCACAGCAGGGAAGCCCCTTGGCCGTGGCTGCCCAGCTCAGAAGTGGCGGGGCTGGGCCTCCACACCCTGGGTGACCCACTTCCCCTCCCTTAGGCTTCTCCTGACGGGGTTGTGAGGATTGCCCCTGATGGATGGAGGGGAAACTGAGGCTCAGCAGGGAAAAGTCTAAAGGTGGCCCCGGCCAGCAACAGGGCACCAGATCCGCCGAAACCGGTTTGGCTCAGTGGATAGAGCGTCGGCTTGGGGACTGAAGGACCCGGGTTCGATTCTGGTCAAGGGCATGTACCTTGGTTGCGGGCATATCCCCAGTACGGGGTGTGCAAGAGGCAGCTGATAGATGACTCTCTCTCATCGATGTTCCTATCTCTCTCTCTCCCTTTCTCTCTGTACAAAATCAATAAAATATTTAAAAAAAAAAAAAAAAGAGGGCACCAGATCCAACCCCACCTGTGCCAGGCTCCAAAGCCTCGTCAAGCCTCGTGGGCGTTGTTCTACACCCTTGTCCCCCGACACCCGTCCCACGTACCCCCAGGCTGGCCGCCTGGTGGTCAGGAGAGGCAGACCTTGAGCCAGACCGTAAGCAGCAGCTGCAGAAGGGCCCTGCGTCCCCCTCTTGCCGGGCCCAGGACACCGATCGCTGGAAGGCCAGGGCCATGGGTCCTCTCCCAGTCCCGCTCCAGCCTCTGTGCTCGAGGGAGCAACCCTCTCAGCCTCCAGGGCTTGTCACATCCGAGGCTCCCAGAGAGCGCGGCGGCTAGTCACTAGTTGCCATAGTAACCGCAGCGGCGGTCCCTGGGTGCCGCCATGCGCCCAGGCCTGAGCTGAAGGCCTTCTGAGAATCACTCCCAATATCACTCTCACTCCCAGAGGACACCACCAGCCCGTGACCGTCCGGGAGCAGCCTCCTTCTCGGAGGACAGGCCCTCATTCACCCACGAGCGTTTCTGCAGGACCTGCGTGTCCAGGGCCACTCCTCCCTCACACACCTTTTTTTCTTTTCTTTTCTTTTTTAAAAAAAATATGTTTTATTGATTTTTTACAGAGGAAGGGAGGACAGAGTCAGAAACATCAATGAGAGAGAAACATCGATCAACTGCCTCCCGCACACCCCCTACTGGGGATGTGCCCACAACCAAGGTACATGTCCTTGACCGGAATCGAACCTGGGACCCTTCAGTCCGCAGGCCAACGCTCTATCCACGGAGCCAAACCACACACCTTTCACCTGCGTTTTCAGGGAACGCTGCTCTCAGCACGCACAGCAGGTGGCAGAGAGGAGGCCACGTGGCGGGGGCGGCAGGGCACGGGCTGCGGTCCACGCAGCTCAGGCCGGCAGGGCGCTCCCCGAGGAGCCCCTGCCCAGCTCGGCCGGCCCGCCCCTGCGGCCTCCTGTCTGTGACGCTGCCCAAGCTCAACCACACACGGCATTCTGTGCGGTTCCTCCTCATGTATTAATACGCAGAGGAAGGTAGAGAGAGCTCCTGCTGTCTCTTTTTTCTTATCTCCGATCAGTGTCACGGCGAGGGCACGGTGATGCTGTGCCCGTTCTGAGGCCTCGGTCCCCGCACACCCCTCCCTGCGCTGCCGGATCGGCGGGCCTCCAGGCCTGGGGCCTCCCCACCACGCCCTCCTCCTCTGCGGGGCCACTTCCTGAAACGCGGATGGGACCGAGGCCCCTCAGCATCTGCCCGCCACCTGCCTGCCTCCGCTGGAGCCTCCCCGGGTGACACGGTGAGAAGCCGAGCACGAAAGGCCCCGGGATAAACAGATAAACACGAGCAGCTTCCCGAGGCAGCGCCGTGACCCCGGGGGAACCGTGAGCGACAAGAGGCCGCACACAGAGGGAGCAGCATGTAAAATGCGCATGAATTTTAAGATAAAACCCGAGGCTCCTGCAGGCTCTGCAGCTGCTTGGGGCTGCACCCCCAGACCCCTCGGGGTGACATGTTCACCGTCCTCTGCCCTTAGGGGGACCTCTGGGGAAGGTGGGGGAGCTGTCTTCCGCAGGAAGGTTCTGTCTCTATCGCAGGAGCACCGGCACGGCCCCCGGAGCAGAGAGTCGCTCAGCTGCCCGGCGGCTCACAGACCGCAGCAGGGGCACCGGCCCTGGCCTCCCTTCCCCTCGGCCCACCTCACACCCGCTGTGGCCGGCCGGCCTGGGCGGCCTCTGACCCCGTCACTCCCCCGCTGGGACCTTGGGACTCCCCACACCCTCACCTGAGCTCCGGGGTCTGCACGCCCTTAGGAGCTTCTCAGGCCTCCCCGGCTCCACACACGGGAGCGGCGTGAGGGCCCCCCACCCGGGCCCCTCGGAAATAGCCACGATAAGCCAACAATCGTGTGTGCTCGCTCTGCCGGCCCTGCTGCCTGCACTCCAGCTGTCCGCCCATCTCGTTTGGACCATCCCACGGAACAGGGCCGCTTGTTGTCCCGTTTTACAGATGAGAAAACCGAGGCACACGGAGGCTAAGAGATGTACCCAGATCACACGGGTCCCAGGCAAAAGGAGCCGGGATTCAAACCCACGAAAGCACCTTTGCCCCAAACCTCCGTGCTGCGCTCCTCACTGCCCCTCCCAGCATCCTTCGCTTCCTGCCTAGGGGCTCCCCGCTGAGCAGGAACGAGGTCTGTGCAGATCGGGCCACGAGGGGACACGCCCCGCCACGGGGCCCCACGGCCCTTGGCCTGTGGGATGGCACCAGCGGCTACAGCACCGCTGCCCACGCCCTTTTCTGCCCTGGGGCTTTGGCGAATTCCTGTTCCTGAGCGCCTTTCTGTCCAGAGCCTAACGGGAGGTGGGGCACCAAGCTCCCCAGTGTGTGTGTGTGTGTGGGGGGGGTGGGGGCTTGGTTCCAGAAAAGCAGCAGCCACGGAGGCCCCTGCAAGTCACAGCCCCCCAAGGGCTAGAGGGGGCCCCACCAAAGGCAGAGGCAGGGAGGGGGGTCCCTGAAGGTGCTGAGCTTCAAGGGGGGCCGGGTCTTTCCCATCCGTCCTGGGGCTGCTGGAGGAGGAAGCAGGCTCGGAGGGGAGGCTCCGGGTCGTGTCCGGAGTGAACTGCAGAGGGGGGGGGTGAACGCAGGCCTCACCAACTCCCAAGCCCCTCCTCGGCCCCGGGGTCTCCAGAACATGTCAGAGGATGTTCGTTCTTTTTTGTCTGTGCTTCCACAGAAACCAAACCCTTTTATCCCAGACATTTCCCACCAGGAAGTGCTTCTTAGGGGGCTCAGGAGCAGAGAGATCGGGACAAAGGGGCGTGGAGGGGGGACGTGGGGAGCGGGCAAGACACCAGGGCGCAGGCCGCCCCGCCGGGGAACACGGGAGCTGCCTCGGCCGGGCGCCTGCCAAGTGGTGGAACAATGAGGAGCCGGCTGCCAAGCCCGAGTCAGGGGCCAACAATCCTCGGAATGTGAGACCCAGAGCCGCAGGCCACGCCGAGGGCCACCTCCGAGAGGGCCTTTCTCTGCAGGGAGCGAGGGTCCTGCATTTCCCAGCACTGTGGGCAGTGTGGCTTCCCGGCCTGGGCTCCGGGCGAGGGGGAGAGAAAGAGAGAGAGAGAGAGAGAGAGAGTTAGTTCATACGCGAGCAACATGTCTACCAGACTCCCAGGGACCAAATCAGGAGGAGCCTAGGGGTTATTTGGGATGGGTGACCTTTAAGTTACTCAGTTTCCTCATCTGGAAAATGGGGCTAATAGTAAAACCTGTCTCTGAGGGCAATCAAGAGGCTTGCACACGTTAACAGACAGGAACGCCATAGAACGGAGCCTGGCACACCACCGGCCCTGAGGCTTTAGCTGCTCCCACTGTCCTTAGTGCTGACCCTGGGGCAATGGGGAGTGACCGCCGCCATGTGCCTCCCCTGCACACCCTCCCCTGCACATACACACACACACACACACACACACACACACACACACACACACCCTCCCCTGCACACACACACACACACACACACACACCCTCCCCTGCACACACACACACACACACACACCCTCCCCTGCACACACACACACACACACACACACCCTCCCCTGCACACACACACACACCCCTCCTCTGCACACACACACACACACACACACCGTCCCCTGCACACACACACACACACCCTCTCCTGCACACACACACACACCCTCCCCTGCGCGTGCGCGCGCACACACACACACACACACACACACACCCTCTCCTGCACACACACACACCCTCCCCTGCACACACACACACACACACACACCCCTCCTCTGCACACACACACACACCCTCCCCTGCACACACACACACACCTCCTCTGCACACACACACACACACACACACACACACACACCCTCCCTTGCATACACACACACACACCTCCTCTGCACACACACACACCCTCCCCTGCACACACACACACACCTCCTCTGCACACACACACACCCTCCCCTGCACACACACACAGCTTCCTTCCCCCAAATGAGGGCCCAGCACCAGGCAGGCCCCTGCGGCTGTGTCCACTTGACCAGCAGGCGCCCGGTGGCCAGTGCCTAGGATGGATTCCCCCTGCTGGGGCCTGCGCCAGCTGGGAGAGGCAGTGCACAGGCCCGCACTGCCAGGCACCCTCCGCAGGGGCCCTCTACGGCCCCACAAGGAGGCGGGCAGCTCCAGCCGGGCCACTGGTGCTGTCAAGGCCGGACCAGCTTCGGCATCAGCCAACATCCTTGACAAGCACCGCCCCCCCCTGCACCCCCAACTGCGCTCAATGACTTGATATCTCCCAAGAAGCCATCACCCCCATTTTGCAGATGGGAAAACTGAGGCTCCAAGGAGTCCCAGATGGCTATTATCTACATGATGCGAGGCAGAAGGGGCAAGTTCAGGCCAGGAAACCGAGGGGCCCATGGCCACCCCGCAGGCAATAGGGGAGTGTAACCCTTGAAACCAAGCCAGCCCACACAGCCTCGGAAGAGAGCATGAATGAAGGGATGCGCTGTGGCTCAGGCTGCCCCGGCCCCGCCCCGGCCTCCCTTCTCTTCTCGTCTCAGGATGAGCAGCCGTTACCCATTCATCACTTGACAGGAAGCAGCCAGCTCTCAGACCAGAGTCACGGGGGCCTGGGAGCTGCAGGGGAGCAGCCCCAGCTGGTGTCTGGTTTCCTGAGCGGTCCCCTCCAACCCACCCCCAAAGCCACACTTGCTGCTCAGATTCCTGGGCCCCGAGACCAGCGGGAGCCTGGCTTCTCTTAGACGGGGGCCGCTGGCAGCCCCTGCAGAGAGGTCCTGACCCTCCCGGGCAGCGGGCCGCCCACTGGGCCGGCAGAGCCTGGAGGCCACGGCCGAGGGGCGATGCCCACCCAGACCGCGGGCCTTGCTTCCCACTCAGCTCACTCCCCAGCACCAGCAGCTCGCCTCTCCTCACCCATCACCCACCCCACTCACCCCCTCCTCTCTCCAGAGCTCCAGACCCGGCACCAAAGACTCTCCTGGCCCAAATGGGAGCTTTTGCCTGACCTTCCCAAGTCTCCATCTTAGCAACGGGCCACCTGTCTGCCCAGGGATTTGGCTGGAACCCAGGCTCACCGCACCCCACAGCCCGCCCGCCCTGGGCCCTCAGCGGGACTTCACCCGGGTCTGCCGATTCCTTCCCCAAAGAAGCCTGCTCTCACCCAGAGCCTGGCCCTTCTCAGCGGCTCCCTCCTGCCCCGTGGCCCAGCTGCTGCCAGGCCAACATGGGAAGGCCCCCTCCAGCACACAAACCCCAGCCAGCCCATCCCCACCCCCACCTTCCCGGGACATCCCACACGACTGAGAAAGCACTGCAAGCTCTGCCCAGCTGATGGGGACCTGCCTTCCCGCCCCCTGCCTCTCCCCACCCCTGCCCTCACCCCACCCCTTTGAGGAGAAAGACCTGCTGAGCCTGTCTCTGTGCCAGGGAGTCACAGGCTGCACCTCAGCACGTTCCTGCCACCAGGTCGGCGATGCCCCTCTTCTCCCACGAGGAGACTGAGGTGCAGAGAAGTCAGGTGACTTGCAAACTCGTGCAGCCAGTAAAAGGCATGCCCTGTTTGCACCCAGCTCCGACGTTTGCAGAGTCTGGCTTTCCGTCCCATTTGTGCGGGGTGATCCTTCCGGACCACCTTGGAGCGGGGGTCTCTCCCTCAGCTGGGAGCTCTGGGCCCCTCAGACAGGCTCGCCACTCCGAGGGGCCCTGCCCCCCAGGGAATGAACTTGGGTCTTTCCTCAAGGCCACGGCAGGCTCTGCTTCCCCTGAAATGAACCATCTCCTGGCAAACCTGGCTCCTCCTTCACGGCCCCATCTGACGCTTCTTCCAGGCAGCCTTCCCGGACTCCCCCCATGACGCCTGGCTCTCCATCCCTGGCGCCTGTGCTGTCACTGGCTGCCACATGTTCTCCTTGAGTGCAGAGACCAAAACCCTCACCCTGTGGCCCCAGTGGGCTGCAGAGCGAGGACCAGGTACAGCCACACCAGCATCAGGAGGAAGGAGCCAGGGAGGCAGCCCCGGGGCTGAGGGCCTCGGGGTGTGTGTGAAGAGCTTGCCCTGGGCCCAGGACAGCACCCACCATCCCACCCAGCAGCCGCCCCCCAGGGCAGGTTCTTGAGCCCCTGGCCTCCCCTAATTCCTCTCCTGCCCGTTCTCAGGTCGGAGGAACAGCGGAGCCTGGAGGGGGACGGTTCTGTGGAGAGCTCACCGCTCCGCCACCAGGAAGGGGCCCGGCAGCCAACACCCGCCCCGAGACGGCGCTGCTCTGTCTGCTTCCCCCGCAGCCTCAGGACCTCTGCCAGAGCCGGGGTCACTCAGTGTGACCTCCCCCTCCCCCGCATGGTGGCAAAGGCCAAGTTCGGCTGATGCACGGGCCCAGTGGTAGCCAAGGTCGAGTGCTCTGTCAGCCCAGGCTCCCGGGGCCCCTCCGGGCCTGACACTCTGCCACTTGCTGGGCACACCCTCCCGTAGCCCAAGGTGGCAGGAGAGGGTGAGGGGGAGGCAGGGCGAGGGCAGGTACCTTGCAAAGCGGCTCCTGAGCGGCTCGGGGAAGCTCTGCTCGGCTCGGGTTGAGGGTGGCCTCGGTGCCAGGGCGGGTAAAGGATGAGGGGCCGGCCCTGGCTGCCTGGGACTTCCCCTGCCCGAGTCGCCATGCCCAGCCACTGCCGAAAGGAAACCCCCACCACACGCGGTTCCCGAAATAGCTCCGGCCGCCACCCCGGTGGCGAATGGGAGCCGTCACCGTCGCCAGGGAGTGCGACGCTCACCAGGGGCTGGCCTGTGGCGGCGGACACCCGGCGGTCTGGAGAGGGTGCCCACCTGTGCCTCAGCCCGTGGGCTTGGAATGCAAGCAGAGCCCACTCCGGGACCGGCCAGTCCTACTCCCCCGCTTTACCCGCCGGGAAACCGAGGCAGAAAGCAACAGACCTGCTGGGGCCACCAGCTCAGCAGTGGCAGCACCTGGCCAGGACCCAGCCCCCTCCGCCCACGCCACACCCACCCTGTGGCGAAGGGCTCAGCCTCCGGGCTCTGTCAGCCCTTTACCCCCAACCGCAAGCCCCAGGATCAACCCAGCCCGGCTCTGGAGCAACGAGGGGTCCTTCTCTTGTCCCGGGAAGGACCCCACCCACCCCACTGGGGCCCAGCAGATGCTAAGAAGCACGGACCTTCTTGCGGTCCCTTTAAAAGCTTACCCTCATCTCTCTCTTGCGAACTGAGCCCAAAACATTTATTGCCAGAGCGGCCCTGGGTTCAAGTCGTGGAGCTACCACGTCCCCGAGGGGTGTGTGTCCCGTGTCCTCATGGGTAAAACAGGGACAAGAATAGGTTGCATCGCCCCCGGCTGCCGGAAGGTTCCTGGCTTGACGTGAACCCAAAGTGCTTAGCCTCAGGCTGGCACACAACGGACACCCAGGGAGCGGGTGCGGGGCCTGTGCTGACTCCCAGACCACGAAGATGAAAGCTTTACTCTCACGGGGACAGAACCGTGGGGCACAGGGACAGATATCCACGAGCCAGAACTGGGCACGATGATGCCCCAGGGAGAGGATGGAGGGGTGCTCGGGTCTGGCCAGGCAAGGTCACGGACAGCATCTCGCCACAGGTGGGGTTTTAGATGGCTTAGAGGGATGGGCATGATTCAAACCAGAGGAGAGGGGGTTCTGGTGGAGGACACGGTGGGATCAGAGGCCTGGAGGCTGGTGCACCTGCAGGCAGGTGGGAGGAGGTCCGGGCAAGCTCTATTATGGTTACTATCTTATCCTATATAATAAAACCCTAATATGCAAATTGTCCCCTTGGGAGTTTGACTGTTTGCTATGACATGTGCTGACCACCAGGGGGTGGCGCAGAAAATGGCAGGTGTCAGCGATGTGGCAGTGGAAGTACTGCCGCCCCAATGGGCCCCGATGAGAGCGGGACCCCCACGGGATGGTAGAGCATGTTAGCGGGTGGCGCCAGGCCAAGGTGAGTGCAAGCAGGGGCTCAATTGTCCTGCTGATCGCCCCACAGACACGACCAGCAGCAGGGGTGGGGTGGGACCACTCCCCTTCCAGGCTCCCAGGCACTGAGGGAGGCAGGTGGGTAGTGGGAGGGAGCCCAGTCCCAATCAATTACCCCGCAGACAGGATGGTGGAGCAGGTGAGGGGTGGCGACAGGCAGGGCTGTGGGGCTGCAAGGCTGGGGCGTGATCTGGGGCCGGATTCCCAGGCCACCCTGAAGGACTCCGCCCATGCACGAATTTGTGCACCAGGCCTCTAGTTATCATTATAAGAAACCAGTGCTCATCCAACATCAACATCCCTACGCCAAACATAACTGACAACCCACTCAGCAAATCAGCTGCCACAGTAAGTCTGGTCCTCATTCTCTAGAGGATCCCAGCCTGGTGGCCATCCAGGCCCTTGGGGCTGTGCCCAGGGCAGTCAGAGGAACCCTCGTTAGGAGGAGGCTGGGAGAGGCCACACTGGAACCTGCCGCGTCCTCCCCGAAGCTGGGAAGTGATGGCAGAGCATTTCACAAAGTAACCGGGACGATGAAGCTGAGCCGTCCTCCCCTCCTCCCACTGTCTCGATAAAATAAATCTTGGCCCGCGGCTGGTGAGAGACCCTATATATTTACATGACGATCGTGCCTCATGATCACAGGGCCCGCGCTTCTGGCAGGCAGCGTGTGGCAGGGATGACAGTGGTCCTGGGAGACTCACTATTTTCCGGCGACTTTTATTGTCCATTATATCCCAGCGTTTACAGGGCTCTGCTCCGGGCCTGGCAGGAATAGCGCACACAGCGGGGCCCGCAGACCTTAATATTCCACCCGAGGGGATGCAGATCCGTCTGTGGGCCCCATCCCTCCCTCCCGTGGCTTTGTATGGTACTGAGACCCCGGGGAGCGCCCGGAGCACCGCCGGGAGAGGGCTGGCCCGGTGGGAATATCTGCACCGAGGGAATTGGCAAATGCTACCGATCAGAGCTTTGTACAAGTATCTCCCCCCACCCTGCCCTTCTGCCCGGGAACCGTTAACCACTCACCAGCACACCCTGGGGAGAGGGGACCCAGAGGATCATGGACTTACAAGGAAGAGTTCACCTGGCCGCCTCAACCACGTGCTTTGTGGCTCCAGGGATGTCACTGCGCGTTTGGACCCTCAGCTTTCTTGTCTGTAAAATGGGGACATACCCGAACGGCTGGGGTTGTGGTGAGATTACAGGATCTTATGGGAAGTCCCCTGGGTGACGCCTGGTCTGTGGCAGGTGCTTAATAAATGACAGCTATTTTCATTCATTCATTCATTCAACACTCACGGAGCACCTGCTCTGTACCAGACCCTGTCTGAGTGACAGGGATACGGAGAGGCCCCAGGGGAGATAAATATCAGGTTCTTTCCATCCGAACAGGTCTTCGTTCTTGATCCCCTGCAGAGGGATTTTTGCCCACGTCATCTTAGGAAGCCTCGTGACAATTTTGAGAGGAGGGCAGAGCAGGAAATATGCCTATGGTTGAGACGAGGTAATGGGGTTCAGGGTGGGTATGGCTGGCCCTAGGCCCATGCCAGGGGGCAGTAGGCCCACCACGGCACCCATCTCTGGATTCCCGGGCCCAGCCTCTTGGGCGGGCAGCAAGAGGGGGATGAGCCGAGCTGGCAGGGCTCACTCACCCATTTCACAGATGAGGGGACTGAGGCTCAGAGGGGTGGTATCAACAGCCTGAGGGGCAGGATTCCTAACGAGGCTGGCAGCTCCAGAGCTGGTGGCTGGGCGCCCAGCAGAGAGCAGGAAGCCACCAAGCCCCCCGGTTCCGACAGCCAGGAGGCCTGCAGAGGGGACGTGGCTGGCCAGCCACCCTGGCCTCCGCACAGAGGATCGGAGTGGTGCTCGGCTGAAACAGGAGAGCCAGGAGAGTGCAGACAGCTCTGATGACTCAAGTGACCTTTGCAACCGGGAGGCGGGCGGAAGCGGGCAGCATTTCTGGTGGGTTTCACCCCACTTCCTAGAAGGATGCGTCACCCGCGTTCGCTGAGTCAGCACTCGCCCGCGTCCGGGCGCCACCTCTCGCTCTGCTCGTCCTCAGAGCAGTCACAGGCTGGCAGGTGGGGCTGCCCATCTGTCTGGGGGGCACCTTTTCGTTTCACAGGTGGGGAGCGCGGGGCCCAGACAGGAGGAGGGAGGCTCAGGGACACACAGCGGGACCTCAGCGGGTCAAAGGCTGGTTTTCCTATTTGGGGAGAGAGGAAAGGAGAGACCCTCTAGAGCTTTAAAAGAAGAAGAAGAAGAAAAAAAAAAAAAAAAAAGAAAAGAACTAGCAGCTGAATAGAACTGCAACAAGGCCCCTGGCCAGCCCAAAGAGGTTTCTGGAATCCTGGGCAGTCTGAATGCTGCCGGCAAGGGTCACGAGATTTCCTTTGCAGAAGGCAGAGCTGAAAACGTCTGACTGAGGGGGGAGGGGAGAGGGGGACGGGGAGGGAATGGTCCATGAGACTGGGAGTCATGAGTGTGAGCCTGGCTGCCCCCAGTGACTTTCTGGGCGACTACGGGCCAGTCCTTTGCCCTTAAATGTTATTAACTCCCCCCCCCACACACACACACACAGGACATTAACTCCATTTTACAGAAGGGGAAACTGAGGCATAAAAAGGCCAGGCACGCTGCCCATTGTAGGAGGGAGATCTGGGATGTGAAGTCAGGTTGTGTGGCTCAGAACCAGGCTCCCAACGCCAGGCTGGTCCCTCGTGCCAGGTGGCCCTCCTGCCTCAGGGGCTCCGTGCCTGCAGCCCAGCTGCCAGCAGGCCTGTTTCCGGAGGCACAGACCATCCTCCCCGCCTCTGGCTGCCGCTCCACGCTGCTGCCTTTTCCGTGA